GAAGATCAAATGCATTCTGGAGTGATTTATTTTGTTACACTTTTGAGTTAGAGGTGTATGGCCCCAATCAGTCCCTGAGTGAGAGATTATACATGTGCCATGTATGGCAAGAATATGTACATAATGTAATAAAAGAGAAGGTCATGGCTTATGAAGCCTTTTTAGCAGTAGCCTTGCAATCAAGTGCATGTACTTAAAGTTACATTATCACTCTAATGCTCCTACATTTGTCAGCTCTGACCGGTTGTATCCGGAATGGTGTGGACACGGGCCGTCCCCCCAGCAGGAACGCAGCCACAGCCAGCTCCAGTCAGTACCTGAAGTCTGTGATGACGGGACGGACATCATCCACTTACAAAGAGGTGCCCCTCACGCAGAAATGTAAGTTGGTGGTACAGTGAGAATTTGCATAGGGACAAGGGGTAGCATATTTACCTTCGCCAAGAAGGTTATGTTTTCAGGGGCGTTCGTGTATGTGTGTGTGTGTGTGTGTGTGTGTGTGTCTGTCAACACGATAACTTGAGAAGGCCTTGATGGATTGTCTTGATACTTGGTAGGCGGGTAGGTCTTGATGAGACCTCAAAATGATTAGATTTTGGGCCCCCTAGCGGCTTGTTATGGTACTGCAGCTGAACTTCCGGTTTTGATATCTCATGATCTAGACATGCTATGGTGATGAAATTTGGTGTAGCTCTTGTGCTGGGGAAAAAGTGACGTGAGTTTGGGACCCCTAGCAGCTTGCTCTGGAACTGCAGGGATATATTCTTGAAAATATTCAAAAGGGGATAACTCAAGAACCGGTCGACGGATCGTCGTGATTTTTGGTATGTAGGTAGCTTACGTGATGTTAAGTATAATTATGTGACAATTATGCAAATATGAATGTAATTTGCATAATTTAAGGGGAAATTCTATAAATCAGCTGCATTCCATGATAGGACAATTGAAGCTTGTGACATTGGTAATTGACAACGAGAGAAACACAGGAAGATATTGATTATGTTAATAATGACTTAATTTGCATAATTAATGAGAAAATTTTTATAATTATGTAATGATAACTGCCTGGAATTTCATACTTGTGGTATTTGAAAGTTTAGTTGAGGTGAACATCATTAAACATAATTTATTCAAATCAGGACCTCATTTGCATAATTTATTACGAAATGCTAGAATGCATTGTTTGTTAATATAAGGCTGTCTTTTGGTTGAGATTATGATAAAATGATATAATTCATGAAAATAAGGTTCCTATTTCTTAAATCAGGGGGGAATAATCTAATCTATCATTTCAGTCATAAAGATTAACATCATTTGGCGAAGGTATGGGATCGGGGAACTCTAGTCTCTAATATTTGCAAAAGTATCAAATAGATATACGATGAAGTATGGAGTAATAGTCTTTAAGTATTGTCTGTCCATAAAACTGAAAATATATGTTGATTGAGACAACTCTTCTACTCGTTATTCGCTGTGAGCCAGTTTTTCCTAATTGTGGTGTCTTTCACTAAACCACTGTACTACATTTCACAGTGCCATCAGGGACCCCAGCTTACAAGCCTCAGGAAGACATGTATGATGAAATTATTGACTTAAAAAAGGTAAGAAAAGTTTAGTGATGCAAATACGAAATATCCTAAATCAATTATGTAACTTTATTGTAGGCTTTAGTGGGATTGTATATCTGTTTACTGTTTTGCAGTCCAATGTTGTATTCAGAATCAGACATTTGTGATCTCTCAGTACTCTGTTTTGCTGTTCAGATAAGATTTATCATGCAGACTGTGCCATCGTTTTCACACATCTTCAATTCCCTCTATTTACAGACTGTAGTTCAGCAGAAAACAGAGAACGATACTTTAAAATCCCGACTGGGTCGGCTAGAGGAAGCAAACAAAGCAAAGGTTTGTGCATGAAGTCTTTTCTTTCATATCCTTTTATTTTCACCAGGTATTGTATTCATGAGGTTAAAAGATAATACAAGAAAAATGCTGTTTTGTCCATATTCTGCAGAAAAGGTGATTCTGTTGGAAAAAGTCAGTATCATAGTACGTTGCTAAGTTGCCATTTTTATACACTGTCAATCTATACAACTGTTTCTTGCCTTTCACTGTTTCAGGAAAAACAAATAGAGCAGTTACTGGACCCCACAAAGGTATTGCAGTGTTTTCTCTTCATTTAGACACCTATAAACTGTCAGTTTGTCAAGCAGTGGATGTGTGTAGTCATAATCAATTACAGACACCAAGTTTCACATCTTAGCTTGATACTTGGGAACATATGATGCAAATTTCTTTCTGTATATATCATATGCATCTTATGTTTGTCCATTGTTTCTCCCAGAGTAATGCCCTGAAGGCAGCAGTGTACAACAGTAAACCAGACGGCACTACGGTAGGTCCTCCTAATCATCTCCTAACCACTAGATTACTGATATTTCTGTTGGAAATACATATAATGTTTCACAATGTCATTACTCTTTTGGTTGTTGTCAGTTTCCTTGCATGATATTACTAGGAAACTTGACTGTGCAAAATGATTTCTATAAAATGGGTTGTCTTGATCCTAGCTTTTCTGTGATCTGTAGTTTGTAGGAAGCCAGGGGATTTGGGTCTAATTCCCAGTTTTTCCTTTGCTGGTATCATGTCTCCTATTTACTCACAGTGTTAATTTAATTCATTGATATCTTAACTCAGTTATGACTGAAAGTCATATTTAACCGTGATGTTTTCCTCCCAATACTGCAGATGGTAAATAATCAGAAGCAGAGAATATTGAAACTAGAGCAGACCATCAGAGAACGGGACAACACAATCAGGTAAGTGGAGTCTCACTCTGTATCTCAGTCTCACTGAATTATTGAAGAGCCCATTGATTATATGTAAGCTGTGATTATAGTATTCCATCAAGGGTTGTGAAGATTGTGTGGATTCTTTCTGTTCTGGTATGGAATATTGATTCAACAAGACTACATGTATCTTTTTATGATTGAATCACAGTTCAATTTTTTGAAATGTTTTTGGCACAATGAAAGAAAATTCTGTCTTGAGATGTTTAGTGAGGATAACTGTTAGTAGTAAAATTTAGTTACTAGTAATTTTGTGTCTTGCTTATATCTGTTGAAAGATAGTGTATTTGTAATGTGTCTGTAACATTTTTCAGTGCTATGAAAGATGACATGAGAGCCACCCGGCTACAGGAGTTGGAAATGCAGGCAGACATCTACTTTCAGGAGGTGTGTATATGATGTGATGATGGATTTTTAATACACCTTCCTGTTCTCTTGTTTCTAATGTTACATGTCTGCAGAAGTATAAATTTTCAGCTGTGCCTTATTTCATTATTTCTACTGTTTATTCCAGATGCAGAGACTACAAGCTGCACCTCCGTCTTCAAAGGAAAGGTGAGATGTTTACTTTATTTGCAGGGTTTTATTATTATAATGTAATTCTTCCTGCATGTTCTATGAACAACGCTCCAGTTAGCTTCTGTTCTGATGTGTGTTAGAGGCAGAAAGATGCTATAAGAATCTGTTATAATTTGTTACATATAGTTTCATTAAACCTGAAACCACCCTGTTTCAGGCCCCCATCCAAGGAGTCTAGTGCTAAGGTTAAGGCTCTAAATGACACCATCCTGAGGCTAACAGACACCAACCAGCGGCTGCAGGCAGAGAACAAGGGCCTGCGACAGGACCTGGACAAGGCTATGGAAGGGGACAGGAAGGAACTCCTGGAGAAGATCAAGAAACTAGAACAGGTATTTACTTATATAGTGTATCGATTTATGATTGTATCCAATCAGATATGCAAGTTCTGTTCTTCAATAGAAAGTAGGAGAAACTTCACTGTGGATAGCTCTGGTGTTTGTGGTTCCTATGCTTTGTGTTGTCCTTGTTGAAGGCAAGGCATCAACATTACATAGTGCAAGATAAATCAGGCAACTGTATAAGTTCTCTTTAGAAGTTACATGTTTTGAATAGCATCTGCTATCTTTCATCAGTGACAGCTGATAATGAAACATCTGACTCCTCAGTCACTGACAGAAGATAGTGGATGCAATCTGAAACATCTGACTCTTTTGGATGTTTCATGCTATCTGAAATATCTGACTCCTCAGATGTTTCAGATAACATCTGCTACCTTTCATCAGTGACAGAGGATAAGAAGAGAAGCGTAACCTGTAGATAAATGAGCATCTGGATTGTCATTCATTGTCCTATGTTGATACTAAAAATTTCTTTATGTCGCTTGTAACATTGTAATCTAACCCTCTACAGGATAGGATGGGCTCCCAAGTTTCCCTGGCTTCTTCAAAAGGAGATGACAAAAAGGGTGAGTACCAACAGTTTGATGATGATGTAATATTTTCCCAATTTTAATGCAGAGCTTCATCAAAGTACTAGAAAGTCTTGTAGAGAGTAATGTAGAGTAATATTTCGAGGATGTCTGAGTAGTTAGAAGTATTGTCACTTGTGTTCTTCCTACCGTAGATAATGAGGACTACAAGAAGGACAGAGACAAGCTGAAGTCCACAGTCCACAAGCTGAAGGAGGAACGCAACTTTTACAGGAACGAAGCACAGGAGAAAGAGTAAGTACAGTCTGTATCTGTACCTTCTGTGCAAAATATGTCAACTGAGTTTTGTATTAAAAAGTAAGCCCATATCTTTTTTGAGGCTGTAAGGGCAGTGGGTTGGTAATCCACTATGTCAAGGGCATGTTATTGGAAAGCAGAGTCCATCCCTCTCCTTCCACCACCTTTTACCTCCCCAACCAAATGAAAGAACAATTAATCCAGAAACTCAGATAACAATACTTTAAGTGTAAAAAAAGCAGACTCCCCTCTTTGCAGCTTATTTTCACCTATTTGATAATGGTTGGATGATTATGATTATGATGATGGATGATAAAAACACAGTAAAAGGTGCCAGCGTGTCTGTGTTAGTCCTACTGCATGCTTGACCTTGATGACAGCACTACACAGCAGTACTGGTACTGATTGAGAACAAATTGTCTTTCCAGGAAGGAGGTTAAGGACCTGAATGCAGAAGTGGCTCGTCTGCGGGAGAAGCTCATCAAGATGAAACAGGAGAGGCTGGCGCGGGAAAGAGAAGAGCGGGAGGCCAAACAGCAAGACTCGGCAGCACGCAGCATACAGGTACATGTCTGCATGGGAACTTCTGAGGTCCTTTCCTACTGTAACAGTTTTCTAATTTGATGATACTGTATGTCTTTGAATGTCTGCATTGATCGCTTTGATACTTAGCCAATAGGTTCCTTTCCCCTGAGTGTGAAGCCATCCAACTTACCTGCCTAGAGCATTGCTAGACATGCCTAGATACACCCCATGCCATGTATGTAGACTGATTGTCACTAAACAACACCTAATATATATATAGCCTGGATGCCAGACCCATAAAACAGAGTTAGCAAGGGTCTAAGTGAGGGGGACTGTGGTATAATTTCCTTGCCCTGGAGCCAAGGAGCTGGCCTGTGTAGGCCCTGTAAAGATTCTGGCACTCAGGCTATGATCATCTATATGTACAAAGCCTTCAAATGGTTGCAGTACTGGCAGGACAAGATAGGGTGATGATGATTTAGCTGACTGCTTATTTTGGTGTTGCAGAAAAACTGGAGAACTCATCGAGCGAAGGAGGAGGGGAGAGAGATGAGGAAACGTCTGATGGCCGAGAGGGAGGAGGAAAAACACCAGGAGAGGGAACGAGAGAGGGAGAGAAGGGAGAGAGAAGAAAAGGAGAAGCAGGAACAGGACATGGCTGCTGCCAAGATACAGAAGAATTGGAGAAAGCACAAAACATCGGTAAGATGGGATTTCAACACAGTTTGAAATAGTTTTCAAATTGCAACATCAAAATATGCATCATGTAATACTAAACACATCATTGGAGAACAAATACATGCCATTTTGTGTAGCTTATGTTTAGTAGCCCCTGACTTCAAAGTTTTGTTTTTATTCAAAGATTCAGATAAATTATATAATAATCATTATGTTGTTTTTTTTCTCTATTCTGTAGCGTCAGAAAGAAGAGGAGCTTAATCAGGTGAGTTAAAAAAAGACCTTTATCACTTGAAGTCTCTTGAATCAGAAACATATTGATGGATGCTACTTGAAATGTGTGACAGTTTTCAGCATGTATCCAGTTGCTTGAGTAACAGTATCCTTGTGCGCTCCCTAACTTGTGTCCCTCCCCACACTTTAACTCCAGGCCGCCCAGCTGATCCAGTCGAGCGCCCGTGGACACTTCGCGCGGCAGCGGCAGCTGGGGGAGGAGTCAGAGACGGAGGAGGAGTCCAGCAGTGACATGGAGACGGCCGCCACGAGGGTACAGTCCTCCGTACGTGGCCACTGGGCACGCTCAGAGCAGCTGCAGGACAAAGAGAAGAGGTACGACACTACTAGTAATACTAGTAGTTATCATGGAAGTTCATCTGTATTGATAGTAATCATAGTAAAACATTGAACTTTATTCCAACACACAATTACACAGAAATTTTCAGCGACCACTCTCGCCTCCATCAGGATAATTAATGACCAATGACAACGTGTTTGTGACCGTAACTCTTGTGAGATCACATTGTGAAGTGATTGGTCAATAATTATGCTGATGAATTTGACAGTGGTCGCTGAATATTTGATCTCTGTGTAATTGTGTGTTGGAATAAAGTTCGACGTTTTACTATAATACTAGTAGTGTTTCTGCTTGGTACCATAATACCTACCACATTATTGAATAATAGTGAATTTAGTGACCACAAAGAATTATGTTACTTGCTTCTGAATAGTTTCATGAATTGAATTGTAAGGTAGGAAAATTCCATTACTCTCCAAAGAGTGTATTACTACAAGGTATTTTAAAACTAAGAGGTTCCATCCATTCATCTTTTGTGGAACAGTTACGTTCCATTTCATGAGCACCATCAAGCATGTTATTAGACTGTCACATTTTTGTATGAAGTAATATGTAAATGTCACTTTTCAGCATACACCACTGCAAACATTGTCGTTCAGTTCTGTGTTTTCTCATTTTAAATTTTAAATTGTCCAAAAAATCTGAATAATCCTTGCCTTCTACTCTTTTGACTTCAGTATTTTTCATAACTGTATGATTGTAATACTCTTAAGACGATATGAAGGGATGCCGACTTGAAAAAGTTTTCAAACTCAGTCCCTTTAGTAACACTTCCCTTGTGTGTGAGATTGATATATGCAGCATTCTGATGCTTTTTGCAACCAAACTTTTGGAAATCACAAGTAAACAATTTTTCTCACAAACAGCCCCCGCAGGAAGAGTTTGGATCGTGATGAGGCAGCCATGTTGATCCAGTCATCTGTCCGGGGACACTGGGGCAGACAGAACCTCATGGGAGAAGAGGTAGGCATTAACAAAGCACAAGACTTAGAGGCTATATAATGTATAGTGTATATTGCCTGGGCTAGCCCTAGTTGGGTAGCTTGCTATATGTAATACATGTGACAATTTGTTCAGCTAAAGAACTGGACATTGACAGCTTAAACAGGCTGCCATGAAGGCTCAGCATCAGCATGCAATCACTGGGAGATGGGGAACAACTGACATTAAACTGGATAGTGAAAGTGAGTGAGTGAGTGAGTGAGTGAGTGAGTGAGTGAGTGAGTGAGTGAGTGAGTGAGTGAGTGAGTGAGTGAGTGAGTGAGTGAGTGAGTGAGTGTTTAAGAGAGAAGCGTATAAGCGTATTCATAATGGTCTCAAAGCTTGTATTGTCATAGTTAAGAGAAGGCAGTGCCTCACCTGGTGCACATCCTTTTCTGACAGGTTGGCAGTAAGAGTGACATGGACACCACCACCGGTGACGACAGCAGTGATGAGGATGTTGTGGTAGTCTCACGACCCTCTAGCAGACCCTCCAGTAGGCCACCAAGCAGACCCCCTAGCAGACCCTCCAGCAGAGGTAGGCACTGGCAGCACCTTGTCATTCAAGTTACAGACTTACAGCTATAAAGTTCTTGTTACAAGACACAGACATGCTGTATACTTTCCTTGGAACCCAAATGATTTGGTCCACACAAAATATGTGTTCAACATGTATCACACCAGGCATTATGAAGAAGAAAAGTACAGAATCTGTAAACAGTTGTCAGCCATCTTAACCCAGGTGACTTCTACCTACTATGTAGGCCAGATACCGTGAAATACAAAGTGAATACAGAAGTGACCAAGATTGTAACTGTGGGATTTACTTCGAGATTCCTCCCACAAATGTTTACCTTTCACATACAACTACCAAAAAAAGATACATCTGTCACAGATCAAGATTTTCTAATAGACAAATTTCTGACAGTTGATTGATGATGCTTTCAAGGAGATCTATTTGTTATTAGTGGATGAGTCCATTTATTGATTTTGCTGCAATAAAAACGTCCTGTCCCCAGTACTACATCCTACACTCATCCAAATCACCCTATTACTGTACAACCTTTCCTTTG